GTTCGGGTGAAATATAAGCAACTATTGGCAGAAAGGTGGGCTGGTGCAAGTATGAGTAGTGGGGGAGTTGAAGGAGGTTGGAATAGTTTTAAAAATGCAGTATTAGAACGTGGGGCAGAAGTTTGTGGTTATAGGAGGGTGGGTGCAGGAGGAAAGAGGAGTGATTGGTGGAATGATGAAGTAAAGGGTGTGTTAAAAGAGAAAAAGGTAGCTTATGACAGGTATTTACAAAGCAGAAGTGTTATAAGAAGAGTAGAGTATATGGATTTATCAGTTAAAAACAGAGTAGGGGAGTTAGTAGATGGGGAGACGTAGGTATTGGGTAGATGTCGAGAATATTTTGAGGAACTATTAAATGTCGACGAAGAAAAGGAGGCGGTAATTTCATGCACTGGTCAGGGAGGTATACCATCTTTTAGGAGTGAAGAGCAGGATGTGAGTGTGAGGGAGGTGCGCGAGGCATTACATAGACTGAAAGGGGATAAAGCAACTGGAACTGACGGAATCATGACAGAAATGTTAAAAGCAGGGGGGGACAGTGTTGGAGTGGTTGGTATTTTTGTTTAAAAAAAGTATGAAAGAGGGGAAGATACCCAGGAACTGGCAGAGTGTATAGTCCCTTTATATAAAGGGAAGGGGGACAAAAGAGATTGTAAAAATTATAGAGGAATAAGTTTAATGAGTATACCAGGAAAAGTGTACGGTAGGGTTATTATTGAAAGAATTAGAGGTAAGACAGAATGTAGAATTGCGGATGAGCAAGGAGATTTTTAGAGTGGGTAGGGGATGTGTAGCTCAAGTGTTTAACCTGTAAACGGTCCAAGCAGATCTACGTTCACATGTGTAGTGCTACAAAAGTAGATCATTTTTTTTTTTCCCCTCAAGGGAGGTTCCTTGATGCTGGTGAGGGGCTCCTGATCGAGGGAATTGGATCTGTGCTCCAGTTCCCCGAATTGAGCCTGAATACCTTCCATCCCTCCCCCCACATGTGTTGTATAATCCTAAGGGTTTAGCGCTCCCACATGATTATAATAATAATAATACATTTTTTTACATATTTTCAAATATAACATTTTCAAATGTAAAAAAACAAAAAGATCTACTTTTTTTACATACTTTCAAATGTTGAAAAAAACATATACATGTTTGGACCGTTTACGGGTTAAATTGAATCATATATGTCAACAGTATTTAGATAAAGGTAGGGATGTTTTTATTGCATTTATGGATTTAGAAAAGGCATATGATAGAGTGGATAGGAGAGCAATGTGGCAGATGTTGCAAGTATATGGAATAGGTGGTAAGTTACTAAATGCTGTAAAGAGTTTTTATGATGATAGTGAGGCTCAGGTTAGGGTGTGTAGAAGAGAGGGAGACTACTTCCCGGTAAAAGTAGGTCATAGACAGGGATGTGTAATGTCACCATGGTTGTTTTACCCTTAAACTGTCCAAACGTAGATCTTCGATTTTTCAACATTTGAAAGTATATAAAAAAAGTAATCTTTTTCTTTTTTTAAAATTTTTAAAAGTGTAAAAAAACTATGACCTATTTTTTTTTTTTTTTTTTGAAAAAAACAGGGTCCCCCGTTTTTCGTGTTTTTCGGGAATCCCAGATTTGGGGAAAAAATAGGGTATTTTGTATAAGCATGGGCTCGCTATCATAGGTTTACCGCGAAAAGTACTCGTCCGGGCGTATCACGGGGTGGGGGGGGGGGCGGCCTCCCACCCACCAGCCTGGCATTGTTTCCCAGTGAGCGAAGGTCCCCTATGCCCTACGGAAAAAATTTCATAATATTCCATCATTTTAGTGCTTGCAAGTAAAATAAGCTACCAGGGTCCAAAAAAACCCTGTGCCAAGTTGTGGTAAAGAAAGGGGAGAAATAGATTGAACCTTCACATCCTCCATTGCATAACCTTATAGGGTTGGGTTGAGAGGGATGACTACCAGGATTTGAACTCTGCTTTGGGGAAAAAAGTGGCCGATTTTGGGGACAAGAGGGATTTTGAAGGGTTTGGGACGACCCTGATTGGGCCTAGTCTGTTTTTAAATCAAAATTTTGGCAT